GGTCTGAGTATGGTGCTGAGAGAGGGAAGTGTAAGGCTTACGTCTCATGTTTACTCCTGGAGCGTGAACAGCCAAGAGGCTTCCACGATGCCGGGCTCAGAAGCTCAGCGAGGCTCCAGGAGCTTGTCGGACAGCGAGAGTCACCCAGGAAGGAACACACCAGGCAAGTTGGCAAATAGACCTTTATTAGTCTGGCCAGACGGCACTCCCCAAGCCAAGTGGCTCAGAGAGGCGGCCAGCTCAGAAACAGAGGCCATTTTATACAGGGCTAAGGGGGGGGGTACATTTAAAACTTACAGGAAGAGGACAGAGGCAAAGAATCAGTGGATCTGAGCTAGTGGTCAGCAAGCATATACTTGACCATCACATACTAATGATCAGCAGATCGATTATCCATTATTCCATTTACAACTTAGATTATAATGTTCAGAACATTCAACTACAGGCAAGTAAGGAGTGGCGTGATTGATGTTGGGTCTCTGTGTTCACTACAGTTTTCATTTAGTTTCCCAGCTACTTCAAAGCAGTTACCTAACAATTCACAATGAATCATCAGTTATCCTATAAGGGATGCGGGGAACGACAGTCTCTAGGTCGTTTGCTGGTCAACATGGAGTCGCTCTGGTCCAGTCAGACTCTTACAGGAGGGCTGGAGAAGCCTGGAGCGTTTCCTCCAGGAGAGGCTCACGTTGTCAGCCTTCAGCTTTTGACAATGTTAGGAGAAAGGAAAGAGTCTCCCATGGAGGTTGCTGGGGTTATGCTGAAAATAAAACTCCCATCCCTGAAACTGTGAAGAAACTCAAAGACGTCTGCATTGGTTTTGCCTTTGTGCTTCAAACTGCAAATGTTATGGCCACAGTCAGCGTGCGAAGAGCGCTTGGTTACACTGGACAGTGCATTCAGTTTGTGTACAGAAAAAAGCTTCGTCAAGCCAAGGTGGTGGTACACCCCTGTAGTCGTAGCACTCAGGAGGCTGAGGCAGGAGGGTTGCCATAAATTGGAGGCCACCCTGGGCTGCACAGTGAGTTCATGTTCAGCTTGAACTACATAATGAGACCCCACCTCTTAATTCCCGGCCTTTCTTTTTTTGGTACCGGGGATCGATTCGGATCCTTGTGCTTGTGGGCAGGCAGCGGAACCACTGAGCCAAGTCCCCGGCAGGCCTTTTCATCTTTTAAATAAACTTGTCTGCACCTCCATCTGTGCTTTTATTATCCCTCACCCCAGACACCACCCCCGCGTCTGCTGTCAGAGGACTGGACGGGTCTGCTTTCCCTGTGCACAGTCGGAGCACACAGCCTGGCCAGGACCGCACTGCGCTCCCAACCCGGAAGGGACACCCAACTTCTGTCACAGACCCTTCCACGGCCGGTTTACTTCTGCTGAGTGGCGGGGGTGACTGGAGGACCCCTTGGGGCTCAAGAGAGCTGACCAGGCCTGGGCCAGGTACCCGCCACTCGCTCCAGGGGCTGATTTGTGTTGAATGTGTGCAGCCTCTGTGGCGGCAGGCAGCCGCTCAAGGTCACTGACTCCAGAACTGTAGGGGATGCCAGGGCGCCGGGCCTCTGGCAGGTAGGGAATGGGCCTGGCGGTCCCACACTGGAGACCCTCCGGAATCCCCGCCTGGGCCTGGGGACCCAGGACAGTGTCTCAGAGCCTGGGAAAAGTCACCCCTTCAGCAAAAGATACGGTCTTCCTGGGATCCGGCCCCAAGCTGCTGCTGGCGTCACTCAGGCAGCAAGGACAGACCAGGTCTCTGCTGTCTAGCACAAAAGGTCGCTCAGAGAGTATTTTTAATGGCAGAGTGAGGATGTTCCCCATGGGTTTTTGGGCTACTTGTCTGGCCACTTGATCGGCCCTGTTTCCCAATTGCTTCAAAAGTGTCAGTTTTCTGATGTTCTTTACAGTGTATGATGGCCACTGCCTTACATTTCCAAATGGTCTCTAGTAGGGCCAGTATTTCCTGTTTGTTATTTCCTTTCCTCCTGAAGTACCTAAGCCCTCTCTATATATCCCTCCACAAATACGAGCGGTTGCAAATGAATACCTGCTATTGGTGTATATATTAACAGTCTTTTTTTTTTTTTTGGTTTTTTGAGACAGCATCTCAATATGTAGTTGAGACTGTCCTGGAACTATGTAGCCCAGGCTGCTCTCAAACTCACAGCGATCCTCCTGCCTCAGCCTCCCGAGTGCTGGGGGTTACAGGCGTGTGCCACCATACCCGGCTTATATTAACAGTCTTATCTTTACTTAGTTCCAATGCTTGGGTAATAAGAGCCAAAGCGGGAACTCGCCCTGGAGACTTTGTATCATAGTACTGAGAGGGGGCTGAGACTCAGGAACTAACGAATATTCTTCAGATAAGGAGGAGGTGACCATAACACTGTTCTGGTGGGAGCTCCCAATATTAAATTTGCTTGTTTCTCTGAAAAAGTAATAGTTGCCCCTCGTTTTCTCAGTAAGTCTCTGCCCAGTAGTGGGTATGGACATTCAGGGATTACTAAGAAGGAATGTGTTACTTGTTTATGTCCTAGGTCTACGACTCTATCTATGGTCCATGTATCACCATTAGGATTTCGGCCTGTGGCCCCTTGGACTAGTGTCTCTTGTTTTTGTCATTTCCCCCAGAGGTTTGGTCAGCACCGAATGGGCGGCTCCAGTGTCCACCAAAAAACCTGTTTGTACGCCCCCGATTTTCAGTTTTACTATGGGCTCACAGGGGCTCAGTGTGTATGAGTCCTGACATCCCTATTCTGTCTCTTGTAGAGCCAGAGCTCCTGGTTTTTCTTTTGTCTCCACATCGGGCACTCATTTTTCCAATGGCCAATTTGTTTACAGTATGCACGTTGGTCCTTACCAAGCCATGGTCTATGTTGGCTCCCCTGGTTCCCTTTTTCCTTTTTTGTTTGTCTTGTAATTTTGGAGGGCAGCAATAGTTACTTTTCCAAGTCTTTTGGCCATAGCTTTTTTTTGGTACCGGGGATTGAACTCGGGTCTTTGCACTTGCAAGGCAGGCCACCAAACCGCTGAGCTAAATCCCCGGCCCTTGCCATAGCTTCTTTGGGAGTATCTCGGTTATCATAAACCTTGTGATCTATGCACAGGAGCTCAGACCTATTCTTTCCCTCAAATCCTTCTTATTTCTGTAATTTCTTCCTAACATCTGGGACCAACTGTGAGACAAAAGTCAAGTTAATGGCTGCTGCGTTTTCTGGAGTACCTGGGTTTATAGGAGTACAGACTCGGTAGGCTTCTAAGAGTCTCTCCAGGAAAGCAGCAGGGAACTCCGTTTTTTAACCTCAATCACCTTACTTAAATTAGTGGGTTTCCTTGCTGCCTGGTGGATTCCTCCCAAAAGGTGGCGGTAATTTGCCAGGTTTCTCCTACCTGCTTTGGTGTTCGCATCCCAATCCAGGCATCTTGTGGGGACCTCACCTTCTGCCCTCTCCAAATAACCTTGAGTGCCCAGTGCCAGCCCAGGGGCATTTCCTAGGGCCACCTTAACAGCCTCGTGAAAGATGCGGTCCCATTCTTCCCCGGTGAAAAGGGTATGAAGCAACTGCTGGCAATCACCCCAGGTGGGCTGGTGAGTATGAAAAACAGACCCAAGAAGACAATAAAACTTGGGGCTTTTCTGAGAAGGGGGGGATCTGGTTCTTCCAATTAAACAGGTCACTAGTGGTGAATGGGGCATAGACAAGTCCACTTCTGGGCTCGACCTGTTCGAGAGGAAGAACAGAGGAAGAAACCCGGGGTTCGTCTTGGCCTTCATGAGGAAGGCCTGACTAGTGTGAGGTGGAGGTAAGGGGCCCTCAGGCGCCAAGGGCGATTTTCTGGTTCTCGAGGTAGAGCCTGGCAGGGCTCTCAGCACTTCCTCCTCCTCCTCTGTCACTGTGAGGCAGAGGTCACGGCCGAAGGCTTTCGTCGACCTCGAGAGGGGTCTTAGGAACTTTCTGGGAGGCCCTGGCAACGCAAATGCGAGGCAGAGGGCTGACAAGGGGTTTGGGTAGTCAGGCTTTCAACCACGGAGAGGGACAAAGATTTATACCCGCTAAGGAGGTGGCTCTTAAACCAAATCAACCCAAAATCAATATGAGGAAATCGGTCAGGATGGCGTCATCCACCATTACCCGGGACTCGTGCCAGACATCCCTGCAAAGATGGAGACTGAAAGAACCTGTAGTCGGCCAACCGAGACCAAAGGATGGCCAAACTGACAGAGGGTGTGAAGGGTGCTTTTGGAAAATCTGACGCCCTATTCTTCAGCCTTCTGTGGGGTTTAAACTTTGTTAAAAATTTGGAGAACGCATTCAAGAGGATTAGGTTTAGACTGACTGCATCCTATATTTGAACGCTGGATCTCTGTAAAGACAATCGGCACACAGAAGCACACAGACAAGTCAAACAGATAAAGATTTCCACCAACGATATCCCTCCCGACCGAAGGGATAAACAGACCGGGGGGCCTCTTGGCAGAGGCCCGGGTATGGGAGTGACCGTCGCATTAGACTTTCCTCCTACCCACTGAAGAATCCTTTTCCCAAGAATCATAAGATTCTTACCTCTAGAGGAGTCTTCCTGATAAACTCCTCCCAGACCGTTGAGGGCCTTCTCTGATACCCCTCCGCCGGAGGCAAGGTCTCAGGGCCCTGAACAAGACGTCAGGGTGGCCTCCCCAGCCTATCTTGACCTCCAGGTGACTCAGGAGTGAGGCAAGTCACCCTGAGTCTGTCTCCGAGATCCGGCTATCTCGCTGGGGCCTCCAAAAATGTTAGACCAAAATGAGAATAGCCGGCACGGAGACAGAAAATCCAGAGAACTAAGTTTATTCACGTGCGTGGACTCCACTCTCAAAGGGAATGGAGCCCCTAACTTCAGAAGCAGCCCAATTTTTGTGGGGCGGTAGGCAGGAATTTGCCTGGGGGCAAGGCTAAATTACAGAAGCAGATTCAACAGTTAGTGGGGTGGGGTTGTTAGGGTACAGCCCGTGTTTTTTCCCGGAACATGTTGCAACCGAACAAGCAGGGCTGCGGAAAAACAAGAAATAGATTAAGAGGTTAACGGTTAGGGTAGGGTTTCAGCAGATGTGCCCTAGGGTTCACCTCGGGGTCAATATGGGGTCACCGTTGTCTCTCAAGGATCGCCGGGAGTTGGAGGCCAGCCTGGGACACACAGCGAGTTTAAGGACAGCCTGAATGGCACAGCGAGAACCCTCACCCCCGCCTGGAGGCTGGGGAACGGGACGCTCCGCCGGAGAGGAAAGCGGGGCCGCCCGCCCCGCAGCCCCAAGC